GTGCTGAGTTTGAAACACATAAGGGGATCAGCTTGTACAGGCTGATTGACCCAGTTTGACTCAGATGTGCCCTTATGAATTGAATGCTGGCCCATGAGGGTGTCAGCTGGACACCCAGCCGGATTCAGAGGTCTTCTGTTTACCTGTGTGCTTGTGTCTGACTGCAGTTTATTGTTGCTCTGATTAACTGATTCTTGGCATCTGAGGGTGTCAGCCTGTCCATGCTGATCAACTCGGCCGGGTCAGGTGTGTCACGTTAATTTGTGTGTGTTTGTGTGTATGACTGATTTGGTGACTGGAGGAACCCAGTCCCATTGAGACTGAGTTCTGCAAGATAGCTCCATTGGGGGTGAGGGCTTGCAGAAGGGAGAGATACAGCTCTGTATAGTAACAGAAGCAGCACATTGGCAGAATCACCAAGACCCTAGAAACTATCCCTAATAAATGAGCACACCCCAAAGTAATGGGCAAATCTGGTAACAAAGGTCACCATTTCATCACCAAAACGTTTTCCTCCAATTATCTTACCAATTTGCAAAGGACTTATATGTTTCTCAGTGTTGGGTATACAGTCATGGCCCTATCCATTCTACCGGGGGAATACCCATGATATCAACACCTTTAAACACCACCCAAATGTCGGCCCCTTACTATTCAGATTTTAAAGGAAATGAAACCTGGCAGGATATAAAATGTAACCGATTTGATTATATACGGTTAGCCTTCGCCACCCTGGGAGAACTTTGTTGGACCTGTAACGGATCTGAATTTTCAGTAGGAATCAGTAAATGTGAGATAGAATTTAAAATAAATGGTGCGTGGTTCTCTAATGGTTCCTGGATATCTAATTATACTCCCAGACAAAGTGGATTTTCAGGTTATTATACACAATGGATGATGAGACCATGTTGTGATGATAGCCGCGGGTTTACTGCATTGGCTGGCCATTATTTCACATGTGGAGACGAGGCCTATAAACACTTTCCTTCCGGTTGGGAAGGAACATGCTATGTCTCTGCAATATATCCTGCTATTGCTGTTAGATCTTACTTGCCAAAAGGAAAGATTCGCAACATGCGGGAAATTACAGAAACTCAGAGATTTTGGGGAATCATGTTTCCCAACTATGGCGCAGGCTTGGCCATGTCTGAAATAAAGAAAGTTGCAGCATCCCTAGAGAAGATAGCTAATGCTACTGC